GGCGGGGCACGGGGCGGGACGCGCAGGGCAGGTGCACAGGGGCGGGGCGCACAGGCCAGGTGCCCGGCGCTGGCGACGGTCCACAGGACGCGTGCCGGTCAGAGCTTCGTGGTACTCACGCAGCCGACACCCGCTCCTGATGGCAGCCCACGTGTGGCCCCAGAACCCGAGCTCTGCGCTCCGGAACACCCTCACTTTGGACCTCTACACAAAGTGGTGTGCAGACTTCAGGGCTGCTTCGTAAACCCCGGCCGAGCGAGGTCGCCCCGGCTCGGCGCCGCCTTCGTCCCGCGGTTACCTCGTCTTCCCGAGCTCCACCACGCAGCACCCGTAGTCCGTCCCGAAGGAGACCCGGATGCTCCTGTAGTCGTAGGTCTGCCTGCCGTCCAGCCGCTGCAAGCACAACGTGCGGTCACGCGCCCGGGCGCTCGGGGCAGCGGCGTCCGGCCCGCCCGCCCCGCGGGCCGCCTACCTTCTTTTCCTCGATGGCGCGGAGGAGGAAGCGGCGCTCGCAGTTTGAGAGCGGTGTCTCCTTCATGGTGTCAGGCCGCGGGTCCCACGCGGACCGGAGTCCGAGGAGAAACGGCCCGCGCTTCCACGTGCGGCGCGCAAGACAGGCGTCACGCCGCGCGTCGGCGGGCTGACGTCACCGCCATGCGACGGCCGCCAGTGCGCAGACTCAGAGCGAGGTGGTTGGGTAGCGAGGCTCGATCTGGTCGGGAGTGTTCTCCTGGAGTAGCGCGGGAGGGGTGGACTGCGGACTTCGCACCCCAGGCCTCGGCGGATCGCGGTGGGCGGGGGTCGGTAAGACCGATGCCGGGGGACTGGGGGCCGCTGGGGAGCCGCGGGGCTCGGAGGCGGGGGCCAGGGTCGGGAAGCTGTCGCGCGCCTCGCCGCTCCCGGCGCGGGCTGAGCTGTTCCCTCCTGCGTTTCGAACCACCCGTCGGCGGCGGTTCTTTTTCAGCGCCCGGCTCCCGGAGAGGCACTCTCCAGTGGTCATCGCGACGACCCCCTCCGCGGCCCGGGCCGACTCGCCTGCGAAATAGGAATGGTGGTGCGTGTGTCGTGGGAGAGACCCGAGGGGCTGGGCCGGTGGCGGGGAGCCTTCGGTGACCGCCGGTCCCTGGTGCTTTGCACGGCGGAGGCAGGGCCGTCCTGCGCGGGCTCCAGGCGGTTTCTTCGGTCTCCTCACACTTTTTCTCCGTACAAGTGATACATTTTAGTCGTTATTTGCGCCCCTTGCAATCCGTGTACTCAGTAAGGATCTAAAGAGGGCTACTGTATCCCAAGAAAGAACAAGTGCTGGGAAAACCGGTAGGCAGGGTCCTTTCTTTCCAAGAATTTAGATCCTCTTTGAAGAGAGAGTAAAAACCTAAACAAACAAAATCAAGCAATTTCTCACACCGTCCGGTATTTTCCAAGAATAGGGGCCCTATTTTAGTATTTTAATAGGAGTAGTTGCAGGAAAAGATGACTAAGAAAGGAAGTGTTTGAAGCAGGAGGAATACTGTGCAGAGAGGTGGAGGGGACTCAGTCTGAGGACGGGTCTTGTCAGGAAGAAAGAAAGGATGAAAGTTATGTCTACCTGCTCAGTTGATTAGTTTTCAAGATAGGAGGTTATGTGAATTAATGCGTGTAGTAGTTTCACACCAGAACTCCTGATTAAGTTCATTTAAATCCTGATTTTTTTCAGTGGACATTTCATAATTCTTCTTTCAGAGATGAAAAGGGACTTTATCAAAATAGTCTTATTCTTTCCCACATTGGAAATTTGGAGTTGGAAAGAAAGTGAGTTTTTTGTAAATTATTAAAAATTAATGTCAATAAATGTTTCAGAAAAGTGCTGTGTTGATTTGATTTCTACAAATAAAATCATATTAAAATTGTTATTGTGGGTCAATTCTTTGTTATGCAGATACATACCCACACTTAACACTAGGGTTATGTGATAGGCAAAATAATGGTCCTTCCTAAAGACACCCATATCTTGGTCTCTGGGAACTGAAGTATGTTACCTTGTATGGCAGAAGTTACTTAAGGGTCTTGAGAGGATTGTCCTGGATTATTTGGGTGAGTTCATTGTGATTACCAGGGTCCTTGGGTGAGGGAGATGGCGGAGTTAGAAAGTGGGAGAGTGGAGATGTGATGACAGGCAAAAGTCAGGAAAGAAAAAGGTACTGCACTGCTGGCTTTGAAGATGCAAGGGGCCACAAACCAAAGGATGTGGGAAAGTTCAGAGCAGGAGAGAGCGAGGAAATGGTTTTTTTCTCCCAGAACTCTCAAAAGGAACAGAGCTGCCTGGACATGTCGATTTCTGAGCTCCAGAACTGTCCAAAGAGATGTATGCAGCTTTGCCCCATTACGTTTGTGCTAACTTGTTACTGCGGTGTCTTAGTCCAGACCACTGTAACATTGTGCTATAGATCTGGTGATTATGAACAACAGAAATTAATCTTTCACAAAATTTCAAAACTAGGAAGTACAAGATTGAGGTCCCAGCAGATTTGGTGTCTAGTTAAGATTTGTTTCTTATTTTGGATGGTTCTCCTCTTGTCCTCTCACTCCAGGGAAACAAGGGAGCTCTCTGGGGTCTCATGAGAATACTAATCCTGTTCATGAAGTCTTTACCCCGTGACCTAATCAAAGGCCCCACTTCCCAATACCATCACATCAGGGGTTAGGATTTCAACAATGGCCTGTTGTAGACTAAATGTTTATGTTTGGTGTGACTGGCATCATCCAAGTTAAATGAGGTGTGCTCACCTAAAATATTTACATCTTGTTCCCCATTTATTTTGTAGAAGTAGCACCTTCAAGGGCTGGGGTTGTGGCTCAGAGGTTTAGCACTGGCCTAGCATGCATGAGGCACTGGGTTCAATCCTCAGCACCACGTAAAGTAAAATAAAGATATTGTGTCCGCCTATAAGTAAAAAAATAAATATTAAAAAGTAGTACCTTCAATGTATATTTTAACATGATTTTTAAAAATTAGTATATGATGTTAGCACAAAGTTAACAACATAATTGAGTAGTACCAAGGGTTCTCATGCCCTTTCCTCCCTTCTATGGCCTCCCCCAGTTGACATCCCTCACCGGTGTGGTACGTTTCTTACAATGAGCCTGTCATTATCTGTTTTATGAAGCACAAAAGATTGAATAATTTGCCCACATTTACAAAGCTAGTAAATCAGAACCAGGGTTCATATGCAGGCCTGTCTCCAGAGACTATATTCATACTTACTATACCATACTACTTCTTGAAAATGGGAATCCATTTCTATGCTTAGTGTATTATCTTCACCCTTAATACCCAACCATTACTTCTTATCTTTGTGGATCTTTATTCACTTAATTACTTTGCCATCTGACATATATGTACAGAATAAAGCTGCTATTATTAGGTTACCTAAACCCAATTTCTTTTGCTTGGCTTGACAACTAGAAGCAGGGCTTATTAATACAGAAAAACATGAAGTTTGTGGCACTTCTGTGATTAGAGTACAAGAAAATATAACTTCGGTCATGCCAGCAGACTCCCTGCCTTCTGGATTTGATAAAGCAAGATTCCATGTAGGGTCCCATGTGGCAAGGAGCTGACAGTGTTCCCCAACCAACAGCCTGGTAAATGTTAAGGCCCTCAGTGCACAGCCCAAGAGCAGAGCCTCCCAACAATCACAGACTGAATGTTGAGCTTGCCATGTAGAATCTCCTGCAGAGACCTCAGCCCTGGCCAGTGGCTTGAAGGCAGCATCCTAGGTAAGAGGGATCCTTGAGCTAATCTAGTTAAGCTACACCTGGAATCCTGACTGAAATCTAGAGGCAATATTTGTGGGCTGTCTTAAGCTGCTAAGAAGCAACAAAATAAACTTCTCAGATGAGCTTCCCTTCTGGATTTTACAACTCATCTCACCTTGATGATAGTGCAAAGAAAATCTCCATTTGACAATTTTTTTTTAAATTTTTTTTGCCACCAAAAGGTCATCAACCTGCTGCTAACATTTTTTGAAGGAATTTGTAGCATATAACACTAGACCTGTGTCCCTTACATGTGATTTCTTCAATGATCAGGAATTTTTTAATGATCTCTAATAGGTTGCCTGAAAGGAAATGTATTTCAAGAATCTTACTAACTAAAGTTAAGTACTACTGTACTTAACTATACTTTTCACCTGGGCAATGTTAAATGTGTGGGAACATGACTTCTGATGCACAATCAGAAAAGCCTTGACCATTTTCGCTTTCATTTAAAAGAAGAAGAAACCTGAGTTTGAAAGATTTCTTTGTCAAGAGCCAAACAAAAAATACATTTCACAATGGATTTTTTTTTTTTTTTTTTGTACTGGGAATTGAACCCAAGGGTGCTCTGCCACTGAGCTGCATACCCAGCCCTTCTTATTTTTTGAGTCAAGGTCTCATTAAGTTTCTGAGGCTGAACTTGATCTTGTAATCCTCCTGCCTCAGCCTCCCAGTAGCTGGGATGACAGGTGTACATCGACATCTGCAGCAAGCAATGGATTTTTAAAATCTGATGATGTTATCTGGAAATGAAGAATGATAATCTTCACTATGAGTACACATCTGCCAAAGAAATTGTTTATGATCAAGAACTAGAAGGGAAAATTTAAATTAATGAGAGGTTATACATTAATATTAATGGTGGTGTTCTTTAATTTTTGTTTCTGATAATAATGATAATAATTATAATAAACCTAAAATAATCTATAAAAATTCAGTCATTTTTATAAGATTTTTTCCTGTGAACCTACTATGTGTTAGGCTGTATTCTAGCACTAGGAAAATGTAGTATAATTTTTAAAGTCTTTTGGAGCTTAACGTGAATAATAAAATAATCAACACACAATAATGTCTGGCAATGATGAGTGATAGAAAAGTATAGCCTGCATGACGAGAGTGGTTGGGAGGTTGCTCTGCACATGGGGGATCAGAAGGCAGGTGCCTCTGGTGAGTGTGGAAACTGGAAAAGTTGGGGATGAATATTTAGGCACGTGGACATTAGTGTTCGAATTGATCAAGGAGGCTGTGTCAGCCGGCTTTTCAGACAAGAACAATTTTAGGAGGAAAATATTATTTGGGCTCATGGTTTCCGAGGTCTCAGTCCATTCCTTGACCCTGAAGGTGAAGCTGAACATCATGGCAGAGCTGAGCATGGGGGCCACACCTGTAATCCCAGCAGCTCAGGAGGCTGAGGCAGGAGGACCACAAGTTCAAAGCCAGCCTTAGCAAGGCCTAAGCAGTCTTAAAATATATTTAAAAAGGGGGGGGGGGGCGGCTGGGGATGTGGCTCAGTGATAAAGTGCCTCTAGTTTCAATCCCTGGTACAGAAAAAAAATAGAAAAAGAACATCATGGTGGAAGAGTGTGGCAGAGGAAACCAGCTTCTGACAACAGCCACCACCAAACAAGGGGAGACTAACTCAGCTCACCAAATATACACCCCAAAGGCATGCACATCTCCTCCAGCCACACTCCTCCCACCTTTGGTTACCACTCAGTTGATCCCTATCAGGAGATTAATTCACTGATTTGGTTAAGGCTCTCAACTCAATCATTTACCCAAAAACCTTCTTGCATTTTCTCACATATGAATTTTTGGGGTCACCTCATCTCCAAACCATAACAGAGGTTGTGAGAGAAGGTTGCTGGAAACAGAGCAACTGAGCTCTGAAGAGGCCACAACTTCCCTAGGGTGTTGGGTGAGTTCCTAGTACACCTCCATGTGGTTTCATGGGAGGAGTTCAGACTCCAGACCGTGCTTCCTGGCTCAAATTCTACCTCAGCAACTTACTAGCTGGGTGACCTGGGTCAACTCATAAGTCTCCCTGGGGTGAGGAAGGGGGAGCTAATAACAATACCTCATCTTACAAAGTGGTCATGAGAATTAAATGTTAATGTGCAAAAGTACTTAAATAGCCTGAGCCCATATTTAGCAAGAGATGAACATCTATCACAATATTTATTCTTTATTAGGTGATGTCAACACATGGTGCACTCCAGAGATATAGCAATATGCCTTGTAAATGGAGGGCTGTTGCCTTCAGGTTGGCAAGCCCAATTTCCAGGCCTCTAAGAGAGTTTCAGCACAAAGCTACTTCCCAGACACCTTAGGTGTAACAGGCGTTATTAAAACAACAGTCAGTATAAAGCAGTAGGTGTCAAGAGTTCTTTGAAGTCAGCCAACAGAGGTACACATTTTTAAAAACTTAATTATTATAGACCATGGGCTTTAGCAACAGAGAGCCCTGAGTTTACATGCCAGCTGGGGTCTGGGGGGTCGTGGACTGTTCATGGATGGCACCTCTTGTCTTAGGCCACTCAGGCTGCTGCGACCCAGTGCCTAGACAATGGAGCTTATTTCTCACAGCTGTGAAGGCTGCAGAGGCTCTGGTTGCTGAGGGCTGCCTGCATGCTGTGTCCACACAGGGCTGACAGATCCACCGTTTTGTACATCTCTTCATAAGGGCACACTCCTGACCCACCTCACAGGCCCCACTGCCCGCCACCATCAAGTGGAGGATTTAGGCCTCAACATATGAGTTTTGGGGATACACCAGCATTCAGTCAATAGAACCTCTTTAAATGGAGTCTAGCTGACATTCATAGGGATTTAATATGTACTAGGGACTTTCCAAAGGTATTTAAGGAATCAATTTATTTAAACTTTGCAGTCTCTTTGCCAGGTAGTTGCTATTATTATCACTCTTTTACAGACTGAGCAAAATGAGACAGGAATTTGTTTTCTCAAGGTCACTGAGGTCTCAAGTGATAGGAGCTGAATGAGGCTGCATGCTGATGCCACACTCATGTATCAACTGAGTTTCTACT